AAAATTCCTGTTTGTTTTCAAGTGGTTGTTTCAGTTTCACTGTGAATCATTTGGATTAACTTGGTTGGAAGACAATTCATGTTGCTAAACTAATAAAATGTAGTACAGCTGATATATTCACCCCTTCTCTCAGAAGTATAAACTTACAGAACATCATCAGTTGAAGCAAGCCCCTGCAACTGATTTTATTGCTTGAACATCGTTGATGGGGTCTTGAACATCGTTAATGTCTTATTGTTCTTTAACCAACATTTTACTCATTCCCAGATACCTCACTTGTCCCTTTGCAATGTATTTTGTCTGGACTGCACCCTACTATAGATCCTTCTTGGCTGATGATATGCATGATCACAAACTGGTTTCTTAAACTGAAACACAGCTGAACTGACCCAAGTCTCGACCCTGTATCTGTGCTGTTTTTGAGTTTAGCTGCTGTGACTGCTTCCTAGAAACTACTGCTTATAAACCCATGTAGCTCAGGCCCATATCTACAGTGGGGCATCTTGGGGCTAGGTCCCACAACTTATTGGCAAGGCCCCACAACTTCCCATCCAGACCCGAGCCACCGAGTGGTGGAGGGTGCGGAGAAGGAGCCAGGTATTTCTGTGAAGCTGTCTGGCATGAAGGGCCGACTATGTTGGTCATGTAGAGCCAGACAGCAGCTCTCTATTTCTCCCAGAAAGTCTGTTTCCCCCAGGAAGTACTTGTTGCTGGTGGGCTGCACTGCTCGGTCTGGTGCAAGGGGCCGGCTATGATGGAGCGAGGGGCCACTGCAAGGAGAAGGAGGCTTGGTAGAGGCCCAGGTGGGGGAAACAGCAGAGCAGCTCAGGATGGGAGTAGGGGTGCCCCCTAAGAAATGTAAATGCCCCCTGACTTAAAAAATCCTGGCTACGGTCCTGATGTAGATGCCCTCCTAAAAGGAACTGCCCAGAAACCGATGGAGCTGCCTTATACTGAAGCAGACCATTGGTACCTCCAAGCCACATTGTCTCCCCTGCCCAGAAGGGCCTGTGACTGCCCCCCAGAAATGACTGCTCAGAAATGCAGGGATCTGCCTTATACCTTGGGGGACCTGAGAAGGAAGGGCGGCTGCCATCAGACAAGGCTGGTGAGCCAGCCCTTGATTGGCCAGCACTCTCGTGCTGAACAATGATTGGCTCCCCCCACCCTCAGGCTTCCTCCGAGGCAATTGGGGGGGGCAGGCAAATGCCGACACCTGTTCCTTGGGCAGGCACCAGTCTTTTCTTAAAATGCTGCATGTCAGTTTGTACCCACACAAAAGCCTAACTTGCTTCAGATGTACCAAGGTACACAGACAAAGCAGAGTCTGGCAAGGTGGGACTGAATTATTGTCAAGACTTCCTTGACATTTGTGGTAAGTTGAACTAAGACAAACTTTGTCAACTAGAACAAAAGATCCTTGCAGAAATAATTATGTTGTGAACCACTTCGGGTCTCTGATGGGGAGAAAAGCAGGGTATACAAATCTATTAATTAATTAAATGGAAGAATGTCCAGGTGACCCCAAGACCCCCTTCCAGCTGGGACTGATGATCCCTCCAGCTCCCTTCATTCCTAGGGCACAATGTCAGCCCCATAGTTGCAGTAGGGCATCTCAGGGCCGGGCCCCCTGACTTACCATCTAACTTCCCATCCAGCTGGTTCAAAATGGCCATGCTGCACCTTTACCCTGCTCTGTACTCATTGGCCAGCCCTGCCCTCCATTCCCATGCTTCCTCCCGCCTCTCTCTCTTTTATTTGATGCAGCACCGAGCCATCACCCTGCCTTGCCTGGAATAAGCCTTGCCTCTCTCTCTTTCTCTCATTGTTCTGCTTGCTGGAACCCAGTAGCCTGCAGTGCAGTGTACTCAACAGGGGTTGGGGTGATGGTGGGAGGACGGGGTTGGGTCTGTCGTGAGTCCCGCGGAATGCTGGCTGGCACGTTAGTGCCCAGAGGAGATAGAGTACCCAATGATGAATGGAGTCAGGAACTTAGGTGCAACCACTGTGAGTTTATTCTCACCCAGCCACCACCTATATACAGTTCTGTGCGTCAAAGTGCTCCGCTGCAACTGATACATTGGAAGAGGATAAAACCACTGTACACACTTTACATATATACACCTGCTGGCCAATCAGCAGATAGCTGATGCAACCTTCAGCAACACCTTCAGTGCCAGGCTGCACTGCCTTAAACTGGTTCTGGCCAGCCTCCTAGCAGTCACATGCTGTTATTAGCTGTCACTTTTCTGACACACCAGATCAAACTCATCTAGGTCAGTCTTACTATAATGAGTGAATCATGACAGGGTCAGGGAAGGTACCCACAACAGTACTGTTTTCATCATCAGTGGGAAATGAGAAAATAAGAATGTTTGGAGAGAGAAACCCTAAGTGGGTCTACTCAGAAGTAAGTACCATTTTATACAATGGGGCTTATTCCTGGGAAAGTGCTCTTAAGACACGTGTGCCCCAAAACTTATTTAAATGCCCCCAAAGAAAAAAGAACTCCTAGCTATGCCATCCATCCATCATGAATTATCTCAACAGAACTCAGGGTCAAGGACAGAGGGTGGCACTTGGGTTGGAATAATCCCAGTGGCACCCACTAGAATGTGGTGTTCCAGATGGAGTGATCCTCTCCCCCATGCTGTTTAATATCTATATGCGCCCCCTCACCCAGATTATCTGGAGATATGGGCTGGGTTGTCACCAGTACGTGGACAACACCCAGGTCTATCTACTGATGGACAGCTATTCAGACACGGCCCCAGGACATCTTGACATCTGTGGCCAGATGGTTACAACAGAGCTGACTGAAGTTACCAGACACGGCCCCCGGACATCTTGACAAGATGTTGCAGGCTGTGGCCAGATGGTTACAACAGAGCCGACTGAAGTTAAATCCATCTAAGACAGAGGTCCTGTACCTGAGTTGCAGGGGATTGGGTCAGAATATCAGGCTCCCAACCTTTTATGGGGCTCCATTGGTGCCTACTCGAGTGTGAAGAAACTGGGGGTGTTCCTAGATGCCTCCCTCTCTATGGAGGCCCAGGTCACCGCCACTGCCAGGTCTGCAGATCGGACAGTTAACAGTGGTGGTGTTCCTAGATTCCTCCCTCTCTATGGAGGCCCAGGTCACCGCCACTGCCAGGTCTGCAGATCGGACAGTTAACACCTTTCCTTGCTCCCCAAGAGCTAGCTATGGTGATCCATGCAATGGTCATTTACAGACTGGATTATTGTAACTCTCACTACATGGGGCTGCCCTTGACTCTGCTTCGGAAGTTGCAACTAGTGCAGAATGCGGCAGCGAGGGTGCTGATGCCACTGCCTGTGCGGGCTCGCATCCACCCAGTGTTGTGCAAACTGAACTGACTGCCTATTGAATTCTGGATCCGTTTCAAGGTGCTGGTGCTTACCTTTAAAGCCCAATACAGCCAGGTGCCTCTTCCCATATGAGACTGCGAGACTGCCTCTTCCCATATGAGCCCCAGAGGGTTTTGAGGTCCACAAATCAAAATCCGTTAGTGGTTCCCGACCTCAGGGACATCCAGCTAGCCTCAACCAGCACCAGGGCTCTTCAGCCCTGGCCCCTGCCTGGTGGAATGAGCTCCTGTGTGAGATCAGGGCCCTGCGAGACTTATTGTAGTTCCACAGTGCCTGTAAGATGGAGCTCTTCCGTCAGGCATTTGTTGAGGCAGCGGACGTCCCCCTCCCCTCCAGCTTCTTTGGCCTTAACCTTTTTGGCCAATTGTCCATCAGTGGCCTACTTCTGATTAGTCATCTGACAATTTTAAAGTTACACGGTATTTTGCAATTTTATCTGTAAACCAATTTTAATATTGTTTTAATTGTATATTTAACTGTCATACACCGCCCTAACTGCAATTTTAATATTGTTTTAATTGCATATTTAACTCTCGTACACCGCCCTGAGCCCATTGGGGAGGGTGGTATATAAATCTAATCAATCAATCAATCAATAATATTCTTTTGCAGAATTTAAAAGGAACATCTATTCTTGATGTTTGTTGCCACTCCCCTCCACAAATAGGGTGGAAGTTGACTCCATTTATTGTGTTTTGAGATGTTTCGGTTAATTGGAAATAGTATTATTAAGATTTTATGCAAAACAAAGAATTATTTGCAATCCAGCTCTTCTTCCATTGTTCTTGTGGTGAAAGAGGGACCCGCCCTCAGCCCTGGGAGACTGAGGTGCCGTCCTGTGGCTTGCAAGCCCCTGATTTGGCCTTCTCACTCTGGATTGCCCACAGAGTCTCGGGTAACAGGAGTCCCACCTGTACTCTCACTTGAACCTGCCATCCACACTGAAGACCAGGCTGAGACTGACTCTTTTCCCCTCAGGAGCCAAAAAACCCCTTTCTCCTTGACCCTGCCCCTGGGGTGTGTCCCTCTTTTCCTGCTCTTTCCCATAGGCTGCTGGGAAGTGTAGACAGGGAGGTATGGCAGCTCCATTGTTCCCTATGGAGTACCCCCCCACACGTAAGGAACTACCAGGCTGGTATCCATTTTAAGGCCTGGCAGCCATTTCGTCACAGTTCTCATAAAGGTTGATTTTTTTTTAATGATGGTCTTGTCTTGCTGAGGGTCACTTCTTTACTGTTCTATATGTCATTCCCGTGAACCCTGAAGAAAACCTGCCAAGATGAGAAAAAACCATGTTTTCACCGTACCTCTTACCTGCATCCTCTGTAATTATGAAATCAATTGATTACTCCCAGTTCCTCCCCAGAATTGCTACAGCATCCCTTAGGGATCACTAGCTAAAACTATGACCCAAGATTCAAAATGCTCTTAATAGCACTTGTGCCATTCAAAACTGGGCTGGGAAACAGCCAAAGCCCTGCCAGGCTGATTGCTCATGCTTGCTACAATCCAGTGTGAGCTACAGAGCCTCTTAGAGTGGCTGGATAATGTTTTGAAGACAATGTGTGAAAAAGGGAACCAGTATCAAGAATTAAGGCTTGTGTGCAAAAATGATAATATTGTTGGGGTTAGTATTGGTGCTGCTGCTTCAGGCAGCTTGCAGGGTTCCTATTTGTAAATGTACCACCTGTAAGACTCTTTCTGTTCTTCACAAATACTATCAGCCGGGAGACCTCATCATTGCTGGCATTATTTCTCAGATCTTCATGACCTCTGAAGAGAGGACATTTGCAACACATCCCTTCCAGGAGCTGTTTGATGAACTCATGTATGTTTCTCTTTTACTTAGTGAAATTATAGATCTCTCCAGGTAATAAGCTCATGTCCCATTAGTTTTGGAAAGAAGTGTTGGCTTTGTTGGAGTTGGAGAAGTGTAGCACTGCATCTTTTCTACTGTTGGTGGAGACTGGCTGTGGCTCAGTTGTAAAGCATCTGTTTTGCATGCAGAAGGTCCCAGGTTCAATCCCTGGAATTGCCAATTAAAGGGATCAGGTAGCAGATGATATGAAATACCTCCACCCAAGATCCTGGAGACTGTTTGCCAGTCAGAAGTTGACAAAACTGACCTCAGCAGACCAAAGGTTTGACCCTATAGAAGTTCGCTTCATGTGTTAGAGTAACTAGACTTCCTGTGCTGCATTTATAGTTTTTTTTCTGCATTTATAATTGTTATTAATATAAGCAGTCATGCTCATTGTTGAGATCTAGTCTGAAATTCAGCATGCATCTGGAGAGCACTGCCAAATCATTGTACTGGTAATGCCAATGCTGACTGAAGAGGCAACACATCAACACACATGGCTGCCTCATACTGAATCAGACCACTGGTTCCTCAAACTCAGTATTGTCTGCTCTGACTGGCAGCAGCTCTCCAAGGTTATAGGTTGAGGTCTCTCACATCACGTACAACCTGATCTCCTTTAACTTGAGTCATTGGGGACTGAACGTAGAAACCTCTGCATGCAAAGCAGATGCTCTACCATTGGGCCACGGCCCGTGGCCAAGATCCCAAAGCTCAGCATTCCATGTCATATGAAGTCCTCTCTCAATAATTAAAATGTGTATCCTGATTTCTAATTGTTAGACATAAAATACAAAGCAATTTTACGGACCTTCCTAGACATTGGTGTTTCTTGGTCGGTGGGTTTCCCAGTAGCTGAAGGAAAGAACCCTCTTTATCTCTGCACTGTCCCAGATCTCTTTAAAAACTGTTTGGTGAACTCTAAGATGATTACATCCTTCTGTGGGACTTCAGCTGCCATTGTAGTTACCTCGGCAACAGGCAAACTGAAGGGGTGGCTGAAATTTTACCAGCAGGGGAGATGAGAGTTCAGGAAATGGCACAAACAGCTTGTCGCCCTCCTTTTAAAGAAACCCAGGGAACAAAGAAGATTATGTTTCTGGGCAGTTGGGCATCAGTTAGTCAGGTATGCAGGTAGCTGGGTAGTGGCATGTGGGATACATGGTTGCTGCCAGTGTTCCCTGTGAGCCATTAGCTGGGTAGTGGCACGTGGGATACATGGTTGCTGCCAGTGTTCCCTCTAAGCTGAGATAGTGTGAACTACTTCACAGTTTTTTAACCTACAGCTCACACATTTTTGTCTAAGCTCAGGAAGGATGGCTCCAGAGCAAACTAATTTATGCTTGCTCACAACTTTAATGCCAGTAGCTCACAAAGTAGAATTTTTGCTCACAACACTCCACAGCTTAGAAGGAGCATTGGTTGATGCCAACTAAAACTAGCTTCCTGAAGCAACTGCCTCAGGTATCATTATTCTAGAACCATAGTTCATCTTTTTATGTCACGTGGAACTTATCTAATCTGTTTTGATACCTGCATTACTCACTGAGTGAATGCTCAAAGTACTTAACATATCTTAGTCACATATCTCTAATAACTAATTATTATTGAGATGGCAGATCCATAAGATACAGTCCAAACCTCTAAGATAATGAGATGATTTCAACAGGGAGCTTATGTATGTATTAGCCTCCAAAACAAAGTGGTTCCCCCCCTTCTCTTGTACCCAGAGACAATGTGGCTGGAATTTACCCTCTATACCATTTTTGTGGGTTCCAGGGCCCAATAGGGAAGCCATGCAGCTTGTGTTCTGTGGACTGCATAGCTGGTCTGGGGGGCTCTAGAGGGGGCAGCCAGATGCCCCTTTCCTTCCACCTTCAGAGTTTATATCAGGTGGGCTAGGAGGTGGGCAGACCTGGGGGCTGTACTTGTATCAATGTTTCCTCATAACTCCCTTCACTGGAAACAGTCTATTTTAGTGTGATTTTTATTACACAGAGTAACAGAAATGCGATCTGATCTGGATCGCCTAGACTAGCCCAATCTCATCAGATTTCAGAAGCTAAGAGGGTTGGCCCTGGCTAGTATTTGGATGGGAGACCACCAAGGAATACCAGGGTCATGACATGGAGGCAGGCAATGGCAGATCACCTCTGGACATCTCTTGCCTTGAAAACCCTAGGGAGTCACCATAAGTCAGCTGTGACCTGATGGCAAAAAGCAACAATTCAAAAGTGTAGCAACGTGTATATTCATGTGATGCACTGTGACACACCACACAACTATGTTAACAGGTTACTAACTCAAAACTACCAGCATATCCTAGCTTTGGTGTTTGCTGTAAAGGAGATCAACAAAAATTCCTCCCTCTTGCCCAACATTACTCTGAGCTTCGACATCCACAACAGCTACTTTCTTGCAAGCTGGACCTATCGTGCCTCAATAGAAATCCTCTCTGCAAGGGGCAATTTCATCCCTAACTACATGTGCAACACCCGGGACAATCTGGCAGCAGTCATTGGTGGTCCGAATTCAGATGTCTGTTCCTTCATGGCAACCATCCTGTGCCTGTACAAGATCCCACAAGTAAGTTTTGTACTTGGGAGTTTAAGCACCCTTTGGTCTTCCCTTGGCTTTTAGCTGTAGCTTTGTGGTTTGGAGAGAAGAAAGAAGCACTGCTGAAAATAAAGTGTTGCTTGGTTGTGGCTGGAAGGTCAAACTCTGACCAAGCAAATGATGCTATGAAAGAACAAAAATAATTCATGGGCATTCTTTTGCATATGGCCACTGACAACAGAATGGAGACCTCCTTTTTTTCTCAGGCCCTTTAAGAGAAAGTTGAATCCAAATGTTCTGTTTCACTAATCAGTAGTTGAGCCTTCCACTGGTGAAATACTCCAGGTTCATTTGGATTAGAGAAAGTACCAGAACTGAGCTTTTGCATCAAACCAATTTTCTTTAGCTGGTTTATATATTTAACTAAACCAACCAGTAAAGGCTGGGGATGTTCCACTTCAAATTACTTACTGGAGGGTTTTTACCTTCGCTGTTCTCTGTGAAGGAAAAATAATAATCTGATGCTTGCTTCCAAGAACAATTTGTGATAGTGTGTACTCTGGTTGTGTTACCCCATATGGACACTCCAACTCAGGGGAAGATTGGAGGGAGCAATCCTAAGAGAAGTGGTAGTTATAGATTGAAGGAGGGCAAAACAAACTCTGATCGATCTAATTTGTTACAGCGAGCCAATAAAACAGTACAATTCTGATATAAGAAGGATTAAAACAATAATAACATAGGAATAATATAAAAACACTAACAAGAGAAAATTAATAAAATTAGTAAAATAAAATAATGTTAATAAGAGAATTATACAATTTTTTCAGCTAAAATAATTTTACGTTTCCTAATAGCTAAGCAACAAAATTTTACCACAGCGTAAGTCACTGAGCTCTAAATGTCTTCTAAGAGGAATTTATGAAGGACGTCTGGCCTAAAATCAAGAAAAGACTGCAGAAGGCTAAATCTAGACAGAAGGGGTAGTATAAGATGGTTCAGTTTCTCCTGATAGAATCTGCAGAACAGGAGGACATGAGTAATTGATTCCACCGTATTAGCCATGCATGGGCATATACGTTCATGCATTTGAACTTGAGTGAATTTACCTTGCAGTACAGCGGAAGGGAGTGCCTCAAAACTGGCTCTGGAAAAGGCCCATCTATAGGGTTCATAGGTACTGTTAAATAAATAAGGGGCAACAGTAAAATTAGGTCAAGATTTTATATTTCTGACGTTCTTGGGTAGTGAAGCTTCT